CAGTATACGACCAACGCCACTTAGTAGATTGTTTCGATAAAAACTAAAAATACAAAAACTGAGAAGAGAAAATTTGGTACTTCTAAGCTTTTTTTTTAGATATTTTAATATCAATGGCCGTAGGTATCTATGGAGTACATAAGCAACGTTATTGTTACTTGTTGTTGGTGGTATAAATGAAATATTAGAATTCTTTTTTCATCCTAGGTGTTTGAGGAACTCTAAACAAATCTGGTTTTCTGACTTTGATTGATAGAGTGTTCTGTTTAAAAGAAAGTGCTAAAAATCTCTCTCTTGAAAATTGAATTTTATCAAAAATTTAAATATGAATTATAGAATCTTTAATTAAATACGTAATTATTAATTAAGAAGTAAAAAGTAATTAGAGTGAGGAATGTGATACACATCAAGAAATAATTAAATACTATCTCTAATACTTTAAACAAACTTTAAGAGACATCGTTATGGTGACATATATTCAATAAAGAACTAAAGATAAAAATTTTTGTCTGGATGAAACAAGTAATTCTTGATAAACCGACTAATGGAAACAAGAATAAACACGATTGAAATTGTTTATTAAAATGCATGATAAATTTTAACTTTAGTTTTAACAGGTTTAACTAACTAATCACTAAGCGACCAGTACTTTAATGAATTCTATACAGCAGCTTTCATTCAAGTAAATTTTAAATAGCGCATTTATATAGATGGGAAAAATAAGTGAACTACAAACTAAATCTTAGTTCCGCCCTATTTCAATATATTTAAAATACGTTACCTTTTCACTAAGTCGTGTAAACTAAAATTCATGTATGCTATGCTATATCGACTACTTCACTACTTCTTTCGAACACTAATTATTGCTTTTGACTACATTCTACTCAGCAAAATTGATTGATTTTGCTGAAGTAGCTTAATATTAATATACTTAATGTTTACAGCTTATATTCTATTGCTTGTTTTGATTAGACGTAGATTTTTAAATTATAATGACAGTGTTAAATACCAAATAATGAATAACAAAATTTTCACAAATACTGAAAGGAAACAAGTACTTCACTTCTTCAGTAATACAAGATCAGCAAATATCTTTGTTTTATGTTAATGCTTTCTTCAAATACGCACAGAAGCGTCAATGGAATAGAAGTTCAGTTTTTAAAAGTCTCACGTTAAGGTCCACCCATTCAAGCCTTGCATTAGGACCAATACACTCGCATACCACAATGTTGTTGCAAAAGTACGACAGTAGCCTTGAGCTGTGCTTGATCCTTGCGATTCTGTTGCAGAACTACGACTGCTACGAGCGGCTCCCTCAATCACATTATTGTCGTCTGTCTCATGCTGGACAGGTAACTCAAAGTCAGACATCGCTTCCTCTGTCACAAAAAGTCGTTTCGGCTTACAACGTCGTTGTTTTTTGTAAGTTTTTGTCACGTTTATGCTGTACCCTTCCAGAAACTCTGACCCCTGAAACCAAATAGAATAAGAAATAGAATAAGAATATATGTAGGAGTTATACAAAAACAGAGTTACTTATAATAACGAAAACAGGAATACAAAAAAATACAAGTGATAAAAAAATATAATAAATTACGACATTAATTAAATAACGTTCGAAGGATAACATAGAAAACGTAAAAATATGCAGGAAAATGGCATGAGATGCGAATGAAAATTCGAAAGCTTGTTAGAGAGCTGTTACAGAAAGGACCGACCTTCTTCTATGCTGCAAGTGGAAACAAAAACATATTGTCTACAATTAAACTCAGCAGAGTTTTGTATTTTAATTGCATTCTCCAAACTTAAGAATAGCAAAAAACGAGTCAAACCGGCACTATAACATCAATTTCCAAGTTGTGTTGAATATTTTATTTTAAAAATTAATGTTTATATTCAAAATTGTAATTAATATTTATTAATCTTATTCAAAGAATAGTTATCTGCACAAACCTAACAGACGGATTCAATGTTTCCAACATTTTTGTTACTAACGGCGACGTCCACAGTAAAGTAAAAGATGTAATAAAGTTTAAACAGATATGAATAACAAGTTTTTTGCTTTAAGGCATTTGAACGAAAAAGGTTCCTAAAGGATAGTTTCGACTTTACAAAAACAGAAAGAAAACTTTTGAAATGGTTTAAAAAAAACCGAATGAGGGCAGATATAACACAAAGCCAGCTGATGCTGCCCCTGATTAAAAAATTGGCGTATCAAACTAAATGAATCAAATTCTGTTCAGGTAACAGTTACTACAAAGCGTTCTACCTGGCTGACTATTTAATGAACAATATCCAATTATCAAAACCTGTAGAAACAAAATACTTGGGAATACACCTGAATTGTAAACTAACTTGGCGAACGCATATAATCAAAAAACGTAAACCCATGGGTCTCAAATTGCGAAACTTATTTTAGTTTTTCAGTCGAAAATCAAAACTGTCATTCTGTCAATCAAACTGCTTATATACAAAACTGACTGAAACCTATGTAGAGTTATGGAGTCCAATTATGGAGCACTGCTACAGATTGAAATCTGGCAATTATCTAGCGGTTCCAATCTAAAACACTACGCATGATCACAAATGTATCTCGGTATATAACGAATGAACAGCTGCATAATTAACTACTAATTGTTCCGGCAATCAAAGAAGAAATATCCCGAAATATGAAGAACTATGCTCATTGCATATGCATATATGCCTACTGATTACGCACCTGATGTCCCCTTCCAACAATTTTATTAGACTGAGAAGAAAATTTTTGAGAGACAATTTAGATATGCATATGTAGAGCAAACATTTTTATTTTAAGTATATATGGATGTCACTGGGCATAATCCAAAAGCGCATTTTTTTTAGCTGGTAGTCATTATTACTTATTATAAAATAAATGGATACCAAAAAAAAAGAAACGTATATTTTTATCAATACATCTATATATATCCACCCAGCGATGCTATTGGCATAACAGCTGGAACAGCAGAGGTATATCCATCTCGGTCTTCTTGTACTAGAGTCAAACTTTCTTAATTTTCCTTCACCCACGGCAAATAGAAACCTAACTGTCTCACGATGTTCTAAACCTAACTCACATATCACTTTAATTGACGAACGGCCGAACTCTTGGGACCAGACTCGATGAGTCGACATCGAGGCTCCAAACGGTGTTGCATAATCCATCATTTTATAATAATGTATGATAGTATGATTGATAAAAAATCGAAATGGTAGTTTTGTTAAAATTGATATTCATTAAGAATATTCCATAAATTGTTTTTTAGCATTACGTTCCAAGATTTGGTTCTATACAAAAGAAAGAATAAATCAAGTTACAAATAATGCCTCTAAATAAAAAAAAATACAATTAATTAATTCAATTATTCTACGGCTGATTCTAATATAAACCCAGCAAGTAATTTTGTTAGTAAAACTTTCACAGCAAATTAACAAAACTTCAGAAAAAATGTGCGAACATAAAGAGTCAAGTACGGCTTTGGATCAGTTGGTTAAGGTGCGCTGACTCTGAGCTTCAAATTTGGCAGGTCCCGAGTTCGATTCCTGGTACTTGCAGTCTCCAAAAATTATTTACGAATAATTAAATACAAGAATTATTTCCAAGACCACTGATGATGGATATTTGGCAATACTCGAAACAGCTGTATGGTCAGCCAAATATTCAATTAATTAAAATAATATAAAAATGAATTTTGTTTATGTAGCTCACTACTGTTCGAAAAACCTCTTTATAAATTGTTTTTACAATTATGCATTACAAATGTCCATAAAAATAAATAGATACAGCTTCCTTGAAAATCCGAAAAATCAATGAAAACGCAATAAACTCATCAAAAGTAGTAGAACGTGAAATGGATGGGAAATCAAGCGAGTAAGTTTTTGAACAAAAAATTAAAACAATTTCAAATATCCTACATTTTCCTAATTCACAAAGTTGCGCCAAGGAGATGTACTTCCATCCATGGCTACAGTTTATTTTCTTTGGCTTGGAAACAACAATGATATTAGTTTTTTAAATGAATTGTCTGTACAAGCATATTTCTGTTAGTTCGCTTGTCATCAGGTCTGCACTTGTTCGTATTACATAACCCATTTGTGTGGGTCCGTACATATACGTGTAGTCACCTCTTGGGAGCTCAACAAGCAAGTGCTTTATCTGCTACACACAGGTAGTTTCCAATGAGTTTGAAAGGTTCGTAGGCACAGGTAATTCCGAAATGCAGTGTAGGAAGCATTGACAGCCTCGGTGCCATTAATTGCACTGTGCAAAGTGTGGTTTCCATCCCTCATCATTGCTGTTTAGTAGACTGTGCAAGTCGAGCATTTATAGTTACATTTTGTATATTTGCTTTATATAGTAAACGAAAATAATTCGAACGGAAAAATTATACTTTTCTTTAAAGTTCTTTCAATTAAGCTGATTATACGAAGGAATGGTTAAAAACGATGTGGAGTAGGAAGTGTAAAAAATTGGTGTGAATATGTACATTAAACTTTAATTTTAACCCAATTATTAGAAATTGCAATGAGAAAATAAATGTTCTGTAAAAGTAATGAAAAAAAATGGAAAAACTAAAAAGAGTTGATAAAATATGCAAATATTTCTTAAGGACTTCAACAATTACATCACTCGAATTTAG